ACACACACACACACACACACACACAATATATTTAGTCAGGAAAGAATTACGGAGCCTGTAGGGCATCACACATCCTTATCTTTTAAGGATTCCAGTGTTTGAAGCTTTCCCTTTATAAACTTAGATTCAGAAATGTAATGTTCATTCAGCAGTTCATCCATGCACTCTGAAGCAATAGAGGTGTGCATATTCCACACAGCCCAGGTTGGAAAATATCCTTAATTCCACTCTGTGGAATGCTTTTTCGGTTGTCTTCCAAAAAAAAAAGAAGAAAAAGAATCAGAATCCACTACTATTTTCATGCTAAAAGTCCTTGAGAGTATTTCAATAGTAACAAAGGAAAGCACACAAAAAGTAGTTTTATATTCTGAAATGTTGACCTACCAAGACTTGAAACATTGTAATGATTCTCCATCTTGATCATATCTGTACTGCCCTAGAAGTATCCCTTCTTCTTGATATCTATTTTCAAGACCCTGCCAATACAAGTGGCTTGTACTGTTCTGAATTCTTGATAGAGAAGATAAACAAGTGATTTAATTTCCAATTCACTGTCCTCCAAACAGAGATGATAAATATTACATGGCAGAGGGTCTGGTTACTTGAGGGACTGCCCATCTCCCATAACATCTGCCTGGCCAGTTTGATCCTGCAGGGTTGGTGCACTCCAGGTTCCTTCGATTAAACAATGCCATCTTTCGGGACCCTGGAAGTGTGCCTTCTCTGTAGCAGCACCTGCCCTCTGAAATGAGCTTCCTCCCGAGATCTGGATGGCCCCCACTCTGCTGTTGTTTCGAAGAGCTGTGAAGACCTGGCCCTTCACCCAGGCCTTTGGCGAGGGAGAGTGAAATCCTTTGCTTCAGCACACTTGCCATCTTTTATCTTTTATTTGTTTTATTTTAATTTATTTGTTTGATTGTTGTGAGCTACCCAGAATAATTAAGAGTTGAGTGGCATACAAATTTAAATAACAACAACAACAACAACAACAATACCTTTAACACCATCAAACAACATCTGCCTATCCCAGGTCCTTGGGAAGGACTCAATAGATGGATAAAAATGCCAAATCCAGTCTAAACATTTGGCTGACTGTGTGACCAACAATAATAATATAAAAATATTAAAGAAGCAAGGTGGAATTGAACTATGATTCCTTAATAATATGAAATCATTTAAAATATTCCCAGCTATAAATATTTACTACTCACTGGTTAATATATATTATTTACTTATGAATGTATTTATGTAGGATGTTTCTAGACCACTTCAGTCTTCAAGGACTCTGAGTGGTTCACAATGAGCCATTGCAATGAAAACAATAAATGTAATAAAACCAAACCAGTATATGTTTAACCATTACACAACTGGTGCCAGCAGCTCCTCCTTAATCAGGTCCAAAACAGCCAAGTTTTTACAAGCTTCCAGAAGGCCATTAGAATAGGAGCCACCTACATCTTGGGATTCAAGCTGTTCCAAAGAAGAGAAATCCCCTCAGAGAATCCTCACTTTCAGGCTTGTTCCTGTCATATTTCTCAGGAGATGGAGAGTTTCAGCAAACATTTTCTGTTCACTCCAGATGGGTAGGCAAAATCTGTCTGAGATCATTTACAAGACAATTCACAGTCTTGTAAATTGCATGCTGTTGCCCATATTTTAAGCACCCTACATGTCGAGTTAAACTTCTATGGCGCATCCTTTTAGGAGAAAGGATGCAGGACATCGTTCATTTGAAGTTACCCAATTACCTGGGGCTTTCCAAATGTTTTGTGAACAATCCAGAATACCTCAGTAGGATTTTCCATCAGTACAGAATAAGCAGTCTATTGCATACATTAGATTGTTTCAGTTCCAATCTCCTGCTACCGCTGTAGATTTTTATTTTATTGTTGCTGTTATATGCCCAGCTTCTCCTCTCAATTCTACAACACAATATACCATCAGAACCTATGTTAACCAATGCAGTCTCATTAATATGCACCCATATGATTTGTAGGTGATGATGTACGTAGCTTCATCAGAGGACCTCCTGGACCTCCAGGACCACCTGGACCAAAAGGAGATGGCAGCTTTATGGCTGAAACTTATAGAAGCTCTGTAAATTCAGAAGGAACATATGGCAGATCCACAAGTTCTGGCTTATCGTATGATGCATCATTAGCCACAGGAGGATCAAACAGCAATTCGTTCAGAAGCAATGGAGAATATGGTGGATTGTTTGGAGCAGATGAATCTTATGCTGGAACATTTGGAGGAGAAGGATCACAAATAAGTTCAATAGGTGCAGAAGGATCCTATAGGAGATCCTATGTTGGGTCACTGGATTACAATGAATTAGCATCCAGAGTGTCTGAAAACATACAGAGTAAGTATACCCATCTGTACCATCCTTGGATAAATAGGTGTAGTTTTGAACATAATAAATGTAAATAAGTGAGGCTCACTGAACCATTGATAGGTAACATTTTTGGCTTTGGGCTCAGAGCTTGCATGTAGTGATCCCAAAATTTTCACTTTTTTGTTGTTCTTTTGTGAAGTTTTAGAGGTTTAATTTAGTGGGTGGATTGAGCCTCACAGATTAGCCAGCCATTTTGCCCACTGATTTTTTTTTTGGAGGGGGGGAGATGCTAAAAATCATGCTGGAAATCAGAAGTTTGCCATCACACTTTGATGTATGAACCGGGGCTGCAAACCACATGTAGCTCATAGACCTCTCACTGCTATACTAAATATTGGCCTTAAAAAAATCCCGTGCCATCCTGAACATTTAATTCAGATCAGTAGCTGTGATTGCATGGAGCCCCCCAAGCACTCCATTTGCAGTTCCCCAGCATTCAGACTTTACACTATAGAAATTGTTGGCTAAAATGGCTGGATTTTACCAACATGATTTTGGCCTTTCAGGGATGATTCTTAAAGATGGGAATGGGAGTGGTTTACATCTGGAGGGCCTGATGCTTCTATCCTGAAAACCCTTAAAATAGGGCTGGAAACATTTGGCCATACTCCTTCCAAGTTGATGCCACAGATATACCACATGGCTTCCTTCAAAAGTTTGGGATGCTGAATTGTGACCACCCATCACCCTCAAACATTGCCCATCTCTGATTTAATAGAAAGTATTTTTGGAAAATGCTCTGCTAAAACAGTTGAGAATCTATATTGTGCATTTCCATTGAGTCATCTTGTTTTTTAATTTACCTTTATGCTCTATGGAGCTTTTAAAGTAATTTGGTACATGTGATTCCTACAACACTTTCCATATCTGAATGGCATGAAAACAAATGCAATGAAGGCATAATGCAAGACCTTCGGAAGTGTACGCTCACAACCACGCTTAGGATTGTTTCCAACACTTGTCCACAGACTTTTTACAGCATTTACTCAAACTTGATGAAACCTAATTCTACAAATGGAGACAGATTCAGGTGATTAGATTAGAAAAAGAAGGCTTTTCAAGCAGTCACCACACAACAGAGGGTTGTTTTCAATAGAACCTATAACAGGCTAAACTCCAGAGTTTGTGTTATAAAATTATGTCCCACACTGAAAATATAGCAGTGATTAAGTGCCTCAAGACCTAACACTGACCAAGCATGAGCTCCAACAGTGGAATATTATTTCTTACATTAAATAAACTAAATAGGCATAGATTTTGAACCTTAATAGAGTACAGTAATGGAGCAAGATGGAACAGTCATTGTGCGGCATCTAAATTGTGGACTTCATGGGGGAACTTTGCACTTTTTTACATCTAATGTCATTTCCAAAGCTTTACATAATTCCTGAGAGGGTTGCAGTTATGCCATGGGGATCCCTGGCCCTGCTTGGCATTGATTACCAAGCTTTTAAAAAGCAAACAAAGGATTACAGGATTGCAAGAATTGGAATGGATTGTTTTACTCCTGTGAAGACTGTCTGAGGAGCACAGTCCTAAATTGTTAATTCTAGGATGATAAAAGCAGCAGGAACCAATTTGATGTAATTTGTTTTGGAAACTCACCTTACATACCAAGCGTTGCATTAAGACTTTGTATCTGGCATCAGCTGGTGTCCGGGTATGCAGTGCAATGATTCAACCTTACATTGAATCTTTTGCTAGAGATTTAAAGACACCCATGTGCATTTTCTGGGAGACTTTAACCTCTTAGAATATCACTCAAAATTATGACCAAAAGATGCATGCAACTTTTTAGGGGAGCAATGATAGTCCTCATTAATTTTATCTTTCTTTACAAGACTGGATGTGTTATGAGTTTGGATGTGAATCAGCACAGATGGTTAAGTGGCATCTCAAGGAAATGCCACATCATGCTTCTACTGAACCAGCTTCATTCATTGCCATTTGTTTTCCAAGTCAAATTCAAAGTATTCACTTTAGTGTACAAAGCCTTAGATCCAACTCATCTACAGGATCATCTACATCTGTACAGCCCACCTTGAATGTTAGGTCTTCAATGGGGCATCTTTTGCATGTCCCATCACAAACGCATCAACAGAAAAATTAACCTATATTGTGGAATAAATTGCCACTAGAGCTGAGGCTGGCCCCATCTTTATTAGTTTAGGTTAAGTCTTAAAATTTCTCCCTTCACCCAAGGGACATTCACCCATTTGTCCGTTTTAGAGCTTTAGTGTTTTAAAGGTTTTTCCATTCAGTCTTAATGTGGTTTTAGAATCCTGTGTATATATGTATTATATATGTATTCTTATCAGCTACCCAGAGATACTTGAATGGGCAGCACAAAAATTAATGAATAATAAAAAAACCAAAATTATTTCCCAGGCCGAGGGCTCCTTCAGGACATAATGACTTACGCTGTACAAGGCCCACCTGGACCTCCTGGGCCACCTGGTATCCCAGGCATTAGTAAAGTGTTTGCATCCTATGGCAACATCACAGCAGACCTCATGGATTTCTTCAAAGGTAACTGATAATCTCTAATTTACTTTAGCCTTTTACATACCATTCCCACATGCTGGTTTTTTCCTTTTTAATTATTTATATCTATATGTCTATATCTAGGGCAGTATAACTTGAATGGTGGTAGCTAAGGTTTGTCATAAATTTGATTTCTGGGTCTTTTAAAGAGGATATATGACACAGTATCTGAGAAAACCTGAGTACAGTAGCTTACTTTGATTTAGCATCAGAGATCCTTGCCTGAAAGGGCTTATGGCACTTAACTCATAATGAAAGTAGTTCATTTGTTTTTGAAATACTTGCATAAATAATTATCTCGTTTATATTTACAAACAAGCAGATATCTAGAAATGCTGATTTTGATTGCTTTCTACAGTTTATGGAACCATTCCAGGCCCACCTGGACCACAAGGAGAGAGGGGATTTCCAGGACCCAAAGGTAATTTAGATGCCTCATTTGGCAATCTTTAAGAAACTAGGTCTGCTTCCAGATGAGTTTTTTTTCATGTGCAATAACTCTGCACCATTCAAATAATCTAACAGGTTGGGCAGTTTAGACAGTCATTCTCTGTTTTTTTAGCTGATAGTGCTAGGACATGCTGTCTGGAAGCAACCCAAGAAAATCAGATAAATGACTCATCTTGTTGAACATGGTGTCTTTTCTTTTTGACCATTTTGAAAGGAAATTTTGTGAAGGTCTATTCTGTACTTTGCCTTTAGAAGATGCAAGTGAAGATCTAGGACAAACTGTTGCAATATTACTTCCTATCTGGAGTGTTCCTATTCAGGATTTTAACCACTTAATAATTTGTTTTTCTACACATTCCACTCTCTATGCCCATACAACTTTTTCTGGTTTTTGTTTTCCATATATGCTTAATATTCTTCTTCTGCTAAGCATGCTCAGTCCTCCTTAGGATTTTTGGGAGAGGCCTGTGGATTAAAAAATACAGGCCTTTTTTGTTCTTCTGTAAACCTCAGTGTTCTCCTGAGGATGCCAATACTTTGTGCCTGTTCCTCAGGAGGGCCTTTTGGGTTCCAGTTCTATTGTCACTCAGATGCCTTCACTGTTTGACTTCATTTACCCTTAGAGAAAATGATAACATTTCTTTCAGTTTAGCATTTGTAAATTAAACTTTGCAGGTCCTAGTGGTTTGACCATGAAGGGCTCTTACCTGTGTTTTCTTTCTTACACTAAAAAATATAAAAATTAAGCAAAACCACATGCACCAAAAGTAAAACAACTTCTGCACAAAATATGAAATCATTTACTGCTGTGATTAATGTCATTTAAATTAATCTGTCACCTACTAACACCATGTTGGTTTATTCTGGCTGTCTGCAGTCAGACTGGTATTATCAGTGAAAATGCTGATAGTCTTATGCATAAGTCATTTACGATTTGTACACTAAAAACTGCCGGAGGGTTTGGAGGCAGGAAGGGCAGCAAATGAGACATTTTCCAATTTGCTTGATGCCTTTGTAAGAAAATGTCTTGGCTGGGACTGTTCTTGGGACAAGGAATTAGAAGCCCTATGATCAATGCATCTGAGTACTTTAAATCAGGGTTCCTCAACCTCAGCAATTTTAAGATGGGTAGACTTCAATTCCCAAAATTTCCTTCGTGCCCGCACCCCCCCAGCGGGCGGAGTGGCGCGGGGGGGGTAATTCCCACATACAAACACATGGTGTGAGAAGCACGTGGAC